TGCGCCTCAAATGACTAATAGCAAATATTTTCATTTGATGCTTCAAAAGTCATAACTATTCACTAAAATAAAAAATTTAGAAAAATCTAGTTTTTATTTTACTATTAACTAGACCATGAATTAGACTATAATCTATATCATAAATTAGACCATGAACTAGATAAATATACTATAAATATACTATGAAGAAGATTAAGAACTAGCCAACAAACTTGATTGCGAATTAGTCTATGGCCGTGGCCATAGATATGAATAGATAGATTATGAAGTGGACTGTGAGTTCAATGTACTGGATATTGAATTAGATTACTACCTAGAATATGAACTAGACTGATTACGATTATATTTTAGATTATTAGAAATACTGAAAACAACACTACGATAAAACTATAAACTAAAGAATAAATTTCACAGTAAACTAGAATATAACCAGACATTCATTTTACTCAAATTTAATAAATTTTTTAAAAACTACTAAATTTTTATATTGTTTTGTTCTTCTTTAACTTGCTATCTCTGTATCATCAAGGGCAGACAGCAGTATATAGGTACACTTTAATAGAATAATTACGTGTCCTGAAATTTTATGTAAACTAATTCATTAAATGACGTCAATGATAAAAAATAAATATAATTCGGAAGTAAAGATTATTAATTCAACAACAAGGAACGTTTTTGAGACAGAATTTTCTGTTGTTTCCAAAATCTCAACGTAACTCCTACCATTATAATAAAAGTACAATACATATTACGTGATTTGTATAAATGATTGTAATAAGTAAAATTTATATACAAATTTTGTAAATTAAATATTCTTGTTATCTATATATTTCATACCTATACACATACATATGTATGTATTGTATACAATTCGTGTCACAACACGTTTTCAGTAGACTTTTTAATAACTTTATTAAAGTTTATCTTAGGAAGGGGACTATTTCTGTGTGTGAGTTAAGAGTCTATTATGGTTTTATATGCCAAGATGCTGTTATTTAAATTTCTATATGAGAACTTGTTAAAACGTATTTTCA